AAGAAGGTTATTATGGTTTTTATGTTTAAGAATTGGTGTTTTAGCTTAAGGTTTTTATGTTCAAGAATTTTATTTCTTTACTATCTCTGCTCAGGCTTATGATTCTTTCCGATTTTTTTTTTAAATATTCCATGCAAAAATATCGTGTATATATTTTATTTTTCATCAAGAATTTGGATTAAGATGTATATAGAAAACCGTACTAATTACATATCACGAGAAAAAAAAATAAAAGGAAAATAAAAATCCATGAAAATAACCAAAAAGATATTCAACTATAGTGTATTAGGAAAGATGAAATATCAAAATGTTTTTTCATTAAATGTAAAATGATGATTACACATTTTAGCAGAGGATAACACAATCATTGTAGCACTAATTAGAAAGATGGGTCAATTGAAAAAAAAATTGAACTTGATATTATTTGATTTTGACATATCAACAAACTCAACCAAGTCGAAATAAATACATTTTAATTATGGCTAAATACAATTTATAGTCGGGGTCTTGATCTTATAGCGAGGTTTTTGGGCGGGAATTAGAGAGAGACGAATCAGTGCTCGTAAGAGAGTCGAGAGAGTGACCGTCTTCTTAACCGGCGATATATATATGGTCCGGTGAGTAGATTATAGTTCAGGGTTCGTCTGTTTAAATTGGGCCGGGTCGTAATATGTAAAGGCCCAATGATATGCATACAAACCGGTTCTACTTGCTAAACCAGATTCGATTTTTTGTTTATTAATTAGCTAAACGGTTCTCCTCGCTTAAACCAGATTCCGGTTTTGCAGGTAATTACTAATTCAATCAGCAAAACGTTGTCGTTTTCATCTCCTCTCATAGGGGGTACTTGGTACTGTACTTGACCCGGTCCGCACGGGTATCAAAAGCTTAAACCACACCACAGGAAACAGCACGGTTAAGTCATCAATCTTAAAGGGTATCTTTGTGGTAAAGTCATCACTGTTAAGCAACTTTTCTTCTAATACATATTAATGATTAATGTCTCTTACGTTGAAGCTTTGTGTTAAGAACTCTTTCTTCTTTTCAGGGAATTGTTCTGCTTATCATCTTGATAAGTGGGCTTTGTTGTATGGCTGGTATTGATACGCTGAGTAGATTCGAAACTCCTCAAAATTGAGCAGATCACACATCTCCTTTTTGCCTTCTTCTGCTGATTCTTTTTTTTGCTTTTGTGAAGGGTTTTTCAAATGTGGATTGTTGTTACATTACTTGAAGAAGTGTGCATGTGATAAAATCAGAATCCCTTCTTGTATTGTTATCTATTCACTCACCTCTTTGTTTGTTGTCTTTATCAATAGGTTTGTAGTACTTGTAAAGTTGTAATATTGAGAACTTTGAAGAAAACTCAAGGTTTTATCTGATTTTGAAGTCTAGTGGTTTCTTTTACTTAATCCACAAATGCATTTTTATCTAATTCCTCTCTATTTTTTTCAACAATATACGTTATGTCAAATTTAAATTTGGATGATAATACAACAAAAACAAAAACCGATATGTTCATCATGTTGTTACTATTTTCTTTCTTATCAACTCGACATTTGACTCGTTTTTTCAAATTTTTAGCGGAAAGAAATGGATCAAACTCCCAAAATCAAAGATTTGCAAAGATGGCAGGGCCGGCTCTGGGCCCAAATAGATTAAACTTAGGTTTGTAGTTTTCTAAAATTTAAGATCGGTTTTGTCTACGAAACGGTCCCTTCTTTTCCTTCTCTAACATGCGGCCAACTATGCGTGTCAACGTCCCTTCTTGTGTTGGTGAATACGAGCCATCACGTTTTTACTTTTCAGTTTTACCATTACTGTTTGGTCACTAAATTTTTGCATGTACATACAAGCATAGACATATATGCATATTGTGATGGTCTCCAAGAGAAATGTATTTATTGTTGCAGAGTCTTTATTACAAAGGCCAATCATGTCTTTGAGAATTGCGACCCATTAGTAGTCATTAGTACCCTTCCTTACCAACAAACCCCAAGCAGTGAAATAAATAACAACAGTTTCTACGTAACTATTAATCAAGTCTATAATATGGTTTATGCACAAATATAATACCTCTAATTAGTTATTAACATCGAATATTTCTTGGATAACAAAATGTATATTTCGAATATTTGTGGAATTGATGCATAGTTCATGTGAAATAACAATGATTTGACATTACTAGTACTAAAGTTGCATAGATGTTTGGGTCCAAACTATATTGGGAAAAAATAACAAATCTACTGTTCATTCATTGGTCTATGTTGGCGTATTTTTCCAAAACTTTTTTTCCTATCCAAAACATGATAATATATTGTTTTTAAAATTATCTATTTTCTTTTCTTTTTTTCTAATGAAAATTTGATAGATTGTAAGAAAGAGACATTAAAAGATCCAAAATAGACTTTTACTCTAACCATAGACAATAACAAGTGAGATTGCGCTATCCTTTGATGGATCTATCGTGACAGGTGAAATCTTCATTGCCTTTATACTAATTTTAAGCTGTAATGTTATTAAAATCTTAGGGTTAGATTACAAGTTTAGAACATCGATCTTGCGAAATCTTTCTATTGACGTAGACAATTTTCGTATATAGGCATTAATTATTACTACGTTAACATTATTTTTTCTACGTACAGTATTACGTTTTGGATCAGTGTTATCATTGCCAAGGATAGGGTAATGTTGTAGGATTTCCGAATTATATTATTGCATGTAGAGCATCATTAATTCACACACTTTTTAAAATTGTCTTAAAACTAAAAATGATTAAAATATTATTTAATTTCGTGAATTTTTCATAAAAAAGTTTTATAGGAAGAGTTTTATGAAATTTACATTGGGGGTGTCAAAACTGTTTTTATTAAATTTAATATTAAAATTTATTTAAGACCCTTTCAAAGGATTACTATTAATGATGACCTTATCAAGAAAAAAAAAAATTTGAAGCTAAATTCCAAAACAAAGAACATGCTAGTTAACTATTAATTTTTGGGAAATTTGCTAAATTGACTCCGTTTGAATTAATGTTTTGTAAATTAACCTTCTACAGATAACTTTTTGTCCCAATAACCTTTGTTATTTTCATATCCCAATTTTAACCTTCAAATTGAATAAAAATATTTTCTTTATAATATTTCTGGAATAGATATTTGTTTTTACGAAATTAAAAGAAAAAGAGAATATTCATTTTTGGAAATTTCCTTTTTAACAAACATAAAATATGAACAAAAAATTAAAAACAGATAAAAATTAAAAAATAAAAACAACAAAATAAAAAAACAGATAAAAATGAAGCAAACTAAAACATTATATTCATATAAGTTTTTCATTAAATTCAAAAAAATGAAAATGTGTTTTTCCAAAAACACTACAAAAATATTTGACAAAAAAAATCAAATATATTTTTCCCGGAAAAATCTACGGTTTTTGGAAAGTAAATACCGAATAAAATGTTTTTTGGAAAGTAAATAACTAATGATCCTAGATTTAGGGGATTTAAACTACTTTTGGTAGAATAAACTCTCTACCATTTGG